ACACACACACACACACACACACACACACACACACACGTTTAGTGATCACCTAGCAATAAGGTTTATTTAATTGCTGGTTAAAATGCTACCGTACGGAATGGAGGAAAGAACTTGGTGCCTCAGCAAATCTGAGTTCCAATCCCAGACCCGTCACTTGGCAGCCTCGGTTTCCCCCAAGAAAACTGAGGATCGCGACATCTATCTTCCAGGGCTGGGGGAGGATACAAGGAGATGTGTGGACAGTACGTGGCCCGCACAGTAGGTACCGAATTAAACTCGCCTTCTCAGCACCTACCGGGGGACGGGAGCTACATTTAATCACACTACGACTTTTGAGTCTCCCCCCTCCCTCCGAGCTGTGCTCTCCGGAGGTCTGGCTTTTGCGGTCCTCCCCCAGTAGAGGCCACCCCATCCGCAGCCGCGTAGGGGCCAGCGACCTCCTGCTAGCCCCGCCTTCTCGCCCGCGCAGCCAATCAACACGAGGCTTTTAGGCCACTGCCCTCCGATTGGCTGCGGCTCTGGCACCGCCCACCACCCGGCGTTGGCGTCCGGCGGGAAGGCGGTGGCTTCCGGCCTGGGACGGCGAGGTGGCTGCAAAGGCACTCTGCTCCAGAGCCGCGTGTGTACCGGCGGGGGCGTGGCGGCGGGAACGGCCTCTCGGCCGTCACTCAAGGTCTCCCGGTGGCCGCGGCTTCCCGGGAGCCGGGCTCTCAGGGCACCGTGAGAAGGAGCGGAGCGGAGGGCAGGAACCGTCGGGGGCCGGCGAGGTCAGGCGCGTGGCTGGAAGGACCTCCTCATCCTCCTTCACAGGCCCTGGAAGTTAAACCCCGGTTGGTCTTTTGCTGTGGTTGTTTAGTTCTTATTTCCTTGGTGGGGGAGTGCGCGGGATTGATCTGCGGAAATCGCCACTGACTGCAAAGTTTCCACATGTTGGGTTGGGGAGGCGAGTGCTGTGTGAGGAGACGTGGTTCCCCTTACCCAGAGCTTCTGTGACCCCCGTCTCTTTCCTCCACAGCCTTCGTCCCGCGTGGGCTCCGCCCCCAGCCCCTCATCTCCCGTATTCGATCCTCTGGGATCTCTCTTTCTGAGGAGGCCATATGGATACCTCGACGCCTTTGCCTCCCGTCCCCCCCTCCCCGATCTGCAACCCAGCCCCGCGGACGATCCAGATCGAGTTCCCGCAGCATAGCTCCCTGCTGCTGGAAGCCCTGAACCGCCACAGGCTAGAGGGCAAGTTCTGTGATGTGTCCCTCTTGGTGCAGGGCCGGGAACTTAGGGCTCACAAAGCAGTGTTGGCTGCTGCCTCTCCTTACTTCCATGACAAACTTCTTCTGGGGGATGCGCCACGTCTCACTCTGCCCAGCGTCATTGAAGCCGATGCCTTCGAGGGGCTGCTCCAGCTCATTTATTCCGGGCGCCTCCGTCTGCCACTGGATGCTCTCCCTGCCCACCTCCTCGTGGCCAGTGGCCTGCAGATGTGGCAAGTAGTAGATCAGTGCTCAGAGATTCTTAGAGAACTAGAAAACTCAGGTGGTGGAATTTCAGCCCGGGGGGCGACCTCTTACCACACACTTCCTTCCACCACATCCTCTCCAGGAGGCTGGTGCATTCGCTCTTCCCCTTTCCAGACCCCAGTGCAGTCTTCCACTTCTACCGAGAGCCCCGTTTTAGGGGAGGGGAGCGAACTGGGCGATGTGTTACAGATTCAAGTTGAGGAAGAGGAGGAAGAGGAGGAGGAAGAAGAGGAGGAGGAGGAGGAGGACCAGGCGTCAACAGCACCCTCCCAGACTCCTCAGCCCCCGAGAGTATCAGGAAGCTTTCCCTGCCCTCATGGATCTCACTCACTGCCCGTATCCACTACGCCCCGCAGGGTTCCAGAGGGCGAGAGTGCACCCCTCGAGCCTCCTGCCCCTCATACTGCACTGCCCCCCAAAGTCTTCTACATTAAGCAGGAGCCCTCTGAGCCTAAAGAAGAGATATCAACAGGTGGAACTCAATCTGGAGGAGCAAAGGAGGAGACCAAAGTGTTTCCTGGAGGGGACGCTGAAGGGAATGGAGAGCTAGGGTTCTTGCTGCCCTCGGGAGCAGGGGCGACATATGGAGGAGGAGGAGGAGGAGGTCCATCCTGGAAACCAGTGGATCTTCATGGGAATGAAATCCTCTCAGGGGGTGGGGGACCTGGGGGGGCAGGACAGGCTGTGCACGGGCCTGTGAAGTTAGGAGGTACACCCCCCGCAGATGGAAAACGCTTCGGTTGCTTGTGTGGGAAGCGGTTTGCAGTGAAGCCAAAGCGTGACCGTCACATCATGCTGACCTTCAGCCTTCGGCCCTTTGGCTGTGGCGTCTGCAATAAGCGCTTCAAGCTGAAGCACCATCTGACGGAGCACATGAAGACCCACGCTGGAGCCCTGCATGCCTGCCCCCATTGCGGCCGTCGGTTCCGAGTCCATGCCTGTTTCCTTCGCCATCGGGACCTGTGCAAGGGCCAGGGCTGGGCCACTGCTCACTGGACTTACAACTGACTGCTGAGGCCATGCACTAATTTCTAGTGCAGGAGAGCCACTGCTGCTGATGGACACTTTCCCCTCACCACCATTGCACCCCACTCTCGGATCTTGAAATCATGCCAAGAGAATAGATATATCCTGGACATCTTGTTCTTAAGTGTGGGCGTCGACCTGTCAGATTTGGGAATTCAGTTTTCTCATCTCGAGGTTTGCTAACCACCCCATCAGAAGGTGGTGTATAGGGCATACATAATTTGATCACTTGCCCATAATAGACCTTTCATACAGTAAACCAGATTTCAGATTAAGAGTTTGCTGAGAAAAGAGAGCAAAAAGACGTGACGATTAAATGTTTGGTCTCCACGAGGAGTTAAAGGAGCTGGTCTCCACGTAGGGATGGTCTCCACGTAGAGATGTTTGATTCTAAGGTCTAGTGATTCCGAAACTAATAAGCTCTGTGTTTTCGCCCTTGTCATTGCTGAAATGATTTAGGTAGAGTTCTTTTTATGTGCTTTCTTTTGTTAGATCTTTCCAGAAGCTCCTCAGATCATAACTTGCTCTCTCACCTTCCCAACACTTCTATTTTTAATGTGGTAGTTGAGCACTTTAACAAACTTGAGCATTCCAGGTGTCATTCCTAGAACCCTCTTTTTAACAGAGGGTATTCCCTCAACAGTCTGTGCCTCTTGTTTACCTGTGTCCACCACTGATCACCCATATATTGATCACAGTGATTGGAATGTGACCAGTGAACTCAGGAGGTGGCCACCGACCTAAAATGCTCTCAGGGTAGCACCACTGTTTTGAACAAGTGTCTGTTGTCAGAGGCTGAGACAGCGCATACAGAAGGCTGGAGAGTAACTGCACAGTAGGACCACACACTCTTCCTTTCCATCCCACTCACACGATAGCCCCTTGAGAGAGAGAAGAGAGAAGAGTAGATACTGGAATGGGGAGATTTTCACAGTTACTTAATTTCTTCAAATAAACTTTGCCCTGAAATCTAAGCTGACAATGGACTGGATTGAGTAATTTATTGGGAGAGACAGCATGAAAACAGAGTTGCAAAAACTTGAATGTGTTCCTTATGCAGCAGGGCTATGTTGATGGGGGAAGAATGGGATGGTTTCACATTGGTGCAGAGATCATTGTCCTCGACCTCAGTGGGCCAGGTTCTAGGCCTTGACCTGCCACTGAATGATCTCTAGTAAGTTCCCTTATCTTTCAGAGTGTGAACTGGTCATTTTTGGTTTTTGTAAGGTCGTATATATCTCCTAACTGGTTCCCTGTCTTACTTTTGAAGGTGTTGGTTCACATGATCTTTACTGTACTCTCCCCTGACTTTTTGTATCATCGATAACATTTGGTTTGGTTTGTTCTACATTTAGTGCATAGCACTGTGCTAGACCCTGATACCCTGACCTCCAAAAGTTCACAGCTACCACCAAAGCTAGACAAAAATGACAATGTAGTATGACACATCCATCAAAGGGGGCAGTGCAGGCTACTGTAGTGGCATAAAGGAAGCTGAGAGAAGACCTCTTGCAGATGAGCAGAGGTTTCACAAAGATCACTCTGTACCAGAGTATAGTGACGGTGTGGGTGGCTGCAATGATGTTGAAACGGTGAACGTGAATTGAAGTTAGAACAGTAGGGCCAGGATTGATGGCTTTCCCCAAGGCATGTTCCTTAAAATCTTACTGGGTATGGCACCCAGAAGAGGCTGAAAAATGTGACTTTATGGCTGAGAAGGTGAATTCGAGCTGTGATCTGTCAGCCCCTCTAAAGAGCCACGCCATGGTACCATCCCCATGGTAAGGACTGTGAATACATTGGGAAGGGGGTCAGGGAGAGGGCTACCAACCTTGGATCAGTTACAATCCCACCCACCTGCCATTCTTTTGGCACACATTCTGTAGGTGACTACAGACATACCTCAGCGATATCACACGTTCGGTTCCAGACCACTGCAACGGAGCAAGTCAGATGAAATTTTTGGCTTCTCAGTGCATATAACAGTTATGTTTTTATGGTAACCTGTTAAGTGTGCAATAGCATTAGGTCTAAAAAAATGTACATACCTTTAAAAAAATATTGCTAAAAAATGCTAATGATCATCTGAGCTTTCAATAAGTGGTAATTGCTGACCACAGACCACCATAACAAATAATAATGAAAAAGTTTAAATATTGCACGATTTACCAAAATGTGATGCAGAGACCCAAAGCGAGCAAATACTGTTGGAAAAATGGTGCCGATAGACTTGCTCCAGACCTTTAATTGCAGGCTTTCAACAGAATTGCTACAGACCTCAAGTTTGTAAAAAAAACCTTTAGTTTGTGCAGTATCCACAAAGTGCAATAAAGCGGAGCGCAATAAAATGAGGCACACCTGTGTATCTATTGAGCAGGATCCTTTGGTTGCAAGCAAGGGAAGCTGGCTCTGACTAACCTTATTAAAACAGGAATCTGGAAGTATGTGGGGTATCCTGGAATGGAAGTATCCTGGAATGGAAGGAAGGGCTCAAGGACCAGCCTTTGGAAGGATAAGACCTGGATAAGGATAAGCCCTGGGCGTTCAGGGAGCAGGAATTCCTGGGGGATTTTTGTAATATCTTCGAAGGAGAGAAAGAGAGCGGGGGAGGGGCAGAGAGAGGGAGACACAGAATCCAAAGCAGGCTCCAAGCTCTGAGATGTCAGCACAGAGCCCGACCTGGGGCTCAAACCCACCAGCCGTGAGATCATGACCTGAAGTCAGATGCTCAACTAACTGAGTCACCAAGGCACCCCAATCTAGTCCTTATTTCTTGTGTTACTTATCTCAAGATAAAAATTCCCGGAAGAGAACTCTGAGCCTCAGGTCCACCCTCTGGCCAGAGCACCCTGAACATATGTTCCATCAAGGCAACAAAGTGGGCATGTGCAATCCTCAAGGGGAAATTGAGGTACTGGAATAAGAGTGGGGAATGGTGCTAGTCAGCCCAGGGGAACAGAGGCCCACCCCAGGTAACCTTCACCTGTTGCCCATCTTGGGATCCTTAAGGTGTCAGATACCCCTGGCAGTTAATAGGTATTCAAGAAATGGTGAATCTGCCCAACTTCCACCTCTGCCCTCTGAACTTAAGGCAGAATTGCTTCCTCCCTCTCCTCAGTCCCCATAGAACTTTGTTATTACTACTGCAAGCAAATTAAAATGCCATCTTAGAGTTTTATCGTTTTTAAGTTATTAGGAATTACACAAAAAACAAGTTCCATAACGAAAGATCTGGATGTAGACCCCTCGCCGTGCACGTGGAGCAGCCTTCCTCGGTCTCCTATGTAAATGGACTCCCTGGCCTAGCGTCTCAGTCCCTGGCACCCGGGATCGCGGGCCCAAGCCTACAAGGGGTTGCACAGAAGCTTACACCAGGCCACAAGTGACAGCATGGCAACTATCCCTCCAGCAGCTCACTCACTCGTGGCCACCCACGACTATTACCAGTGCCACCTGGGTTCCACTTCCAGTAACAGCTTCTGTGGAATTGCCCAGTGTACTGGGGAAGCCATCCCTCACCACCCCTGTCTCCCCAGGGCCGACCTGGTGGGCACACTTCTTTGGGAAGCCCCCTCTCCCAAAGTAGTTCATGGCTAACAGTGTTGGAGTCCCCAGCACGCTTGGAATCTCCCCCAGGCCTCCAATGGCACGATCACCTGTGACTTGACTCTGGAAGCCATGAAGAAGCAGCCTGGTGGCCAGCCTGGCAGAGCCAACACCAGGCCCCAATCCTGAGTGGCCACCACCAGGAGGTGCTAGGCTCATCAGAACCCCTTCCCTCCCCTTAGACTAGACAGGCTGCCTCAAGCAGAAGTGATTGGTTTCTTTTACAACAAAACAGCAAAACACCAAAAAGGAAGTTGACAGAACCCCAGTCTTTACTATCCAAGCCACAGGCAAGCCTTCCTTACACCCTGTAACCATGCGCCTTGCACCAAGTGGAAAATAAACTCCAAGCAGCCTTGGAATTTAGATCTAAGCATTTAGATTTAAGTGTTTAAAGATTTAAAACTTAAAAGCCTTCTTCTCTGCCTCTGTCCATTCCTCCATGTAGTGGAAGAGGTGTCCCTACTACTGTCCAAGTCTAGCCCCCTTCCCAGAGCCCTTGCTCTTTTAATTGTCCCCTCTGTCCAGTTATCTTCACTCTCTGTCTGGAGTTCCTCATTAGCATTTAATCGTGCTTGCAGGTTTGTAAGAATTAATACATGTAAAGTGCTTACAACAATGCCTTGCACTCGGTAAACTCAATAGATGTTAGCTGTTATTATGAGTGAGAACATTAGTTCCCCACACCTTTACCAGGATCAGTGCTCTCAGGGAAGGGTCACATATATAAAAGGAAAGTATTTTCAACTGAGGGGGAAATGAAACATTACGGTACTCAGTAAGGATTAGATGTGAACATTATTTTTTACCTTTCTCATAAAGGTGAGAGTTCTTCAGGGTTCTCTTCGCCCTCTTCCACCTTTATATATTCCTGGGTGATTTTTATCCACTTTTCTGAGTTAAACCACTTAAATACTGATGACACTTAATTTTATATCTCCAATTTTCCTGACCCCCAGACCCACTTAGATTTCCTTCTTTCCTTCCTTTGGCAACAAGGCCTGCTGTGTACCTGGCACTGATGAGAAGGGCAGGATTATCACCTTGAGAGGCAGATGTTTAAACCAGCTATGTAGGTACTTCATAGACCTCTCAAGCTCAGCATGCCTAAAATACCCCAGCTCAAGTCAGCTGCTCCATTGTTTCCGGGTTTAGTAAAAGCTCCCCCATCCACTTAAATGCTTAAGACTGAGACCTGGAAGTGTTCCTGGGCACCTGTCTCACCTCCCATATCTGTCCTACCAATGCCATCCCCTGAATATTTCAAATCGATGCATTCTTTTACTGTTACTGCAACCTCCTAACTGGTTGTCTTGTCTCGCTTCTCTCTATGTCTCACTCCACACACACTATGGCCACAGTGTTCTCGCTAAAGC